AAAATTTATATAAAATTAATCATAAATTATTTAATTAATAAATCTTAATTTATACACTAAAAATACATATTAAACAAACTGTTTTTCAATCTTTCTTTTTTTATAAAAATTTCCATTAATTAGTTTGTTGCATAAAAAAAAGTATGAGTTAAAATAATAGGAACACAATCTCCGAGGCACAAAAAAATTGGAAATACGTTAGCTGCCCTGTCCATTCAATGGCCCCATTTCCAGACCTTTGGAACCCTTTTTTCGTATGGTATATGATGCATCCCTTTTACACTGTTATTTAATATTTTTTGTTTTTGTTGTCCATAACTACAACATTCTCCCCCCACTTAACCCTTAATTAATCTTTCCAATAATTTATCTTTTAATTGCATCATCAATGCTAAATTTCCACACGCTGGATCAATTTTCTAGGCCCTACATTTAATTAATAGCTTTGTTTTCAAGAAGAAGTCCCCAACCTTCCCGTGCATTAAAGTCACACCAGTCTGCTCTTCCATACAAATTTCTTTTCTGTGTGATTAAATTTTAATTGTCATACTTTATTCATTTCCAATTATCAAAAAATATATTTATTATAATAATGAAAATTTATATTTTTATTTTTACCTTTAGTTATTGATTGCAAGATAATTCTTGAATAACTACTCATCTATAGAAGATGAGTTTTTACCTTTAGTTATAATTAAATAAAAATTCTAACTTAAAATTTAAATATTAGCATTTTAATAACATTTTATTATTAATGATCCATTTATTTGAGTGAAATGAATTCGATTCCCTTCAAGTAAAATTTTAAATTCAAATTTTGTAAATAAAGAAATAGGTATTGAGAGAGTTTCTCTTTTTATATAATCCAATGCAAGTCAATTTTAGATTTATTGAAATTCAATGTAATTGTCGAATATTAAAAGATCAGTAAAACAACATAATACTTTCTTAAAATAAAAAATAAAATAAATAAATCAAACAACCATTTTTTTTTAATATTTATGGACATGATATTTTTAAATCCTAAGGGTGTATCTTTTACAATTTAATTAATGTATTTAAAGAAATTATTTTACTTATATTGATCTTTACTTAAAAAATGAGAGAAATAAATATTATATATTAGCTATATCTATATCCCTTCCCTTTTAATTCCTCAACCAAACCAAGCCGAACAAACCCCTCCTTTCTGCTTCCCTCAACACCAATCATGGCTGTCAAGGTTTTTGCCTCTCTGTTCATCTTCATGACAATCTCTAGCCATGTGGCATCGGACCCTGATCCGCTTCAAGATATCTGTGTTGCCGACAAATCTTCAGGTATGAAAATGTCAAATATTCTTATATATTTCTTAATTTTCATGTTGTCCCGTTCATAATTGAATGCAAGAAAAATATTTTAATAAGTGAAGTGTTTTTTTTTTTATTTTAAATTGTTAAATTTTTCTATTTTAAACTTTGGATCAACAACTGCGATGAATGGCAGGAATAAAGGTAAATGGATTTGTTTGCAAGGACGAGGCCAAGGTTACGGCGGCGGATTTCTTCTTCAACGGGCTGGCTAAGGCGGCGGTAGTCAACAATTCAGTGGGATCCGTCGTGACAGCCGCCAACGTCGAGAAAATTCCGGGTCTTAACACTCTGGGCGTGTCTCTGTCTCGCATTGACTATGAGGCCGGTGGCCTTAATCCACCCCACACGCACCCACGCGCCACCGAGATGATTTTCGTGCTGAGTGGAGAACTGGATGTGGGGTTCATCACCACCGCGAACAAGCTGATCTCAAAGAGCATCAAGAAGGGGGATATCTTCGTGTTCCCCAAGGGTCTAGTCCACTTCCAGAAGAACAATGGCAACGAGCCCGCCTCCGTGATTTCAGCGTTCAATAGCCAGTTGCCTGGAACTCAATCTATCGCCGTGACCCTGTTCTCTGCATCCCCGGCAGTGCCGGATAATGTCCTGACCAAGGCGTTCCAGATTGACACCAAGGAAGTCGAGAAAATTAAATCCAGGTTTGCGCCGAAGAGCTAGAACCAGAAGAATTATTAGATGGCCAAATTTGTCCTCCTCTTCTTTTTTCTTTTTTTTTTTTTAATTTAATAAAAAAATTCCCAAACTTTGAAAATATTCTCATTATCATCCTCTACCCCAAAAAGAATAATTGTTAAGTCCCCAAAGAAAAATAGGCTAACAATCTTCCTTCTGTTAAAGGACGTTATGACACCATCCATCATCTGTCAACTGCACTGTTAAGTTGACGATGCGTCAAACGTG